CCAGTGCCGGTGCTGCTGGCGCTGCTGGTGCCGCTGGTGGTGCTGCCGCTGGTGCATGAGGATAGGTACTTCATATGAATTCCCTGTTACAGAGACTCTTTTAGTGTCTAAAGTAGAACTTTTTACGTGTAGAAAATGCTCAATTATTGAATTTTATAGGCGGTTATCGGTGGAACTTTTCTTTTCCATCTTCTTACTCGGCACTTTGGTGTTAGATAAACTGGCTACATTAAACCCAGTTGAGTGCCAGCAGGTGACATGGTGGTAAGGCAGTGGGTTGCACGTGGCCAACTCTGCTCTCCAAGGCCTGGGCCTGGCAGCGTGGAAGCACCTGACTGCATGTGTGTATACCCAATCCAAAGAGGAGCCTGAAAGGCTTGTAGCATGGCTGTCCCCCCTGCAGAGTGATTTCTCACTTTACCTCCCTCTCTCTGGCAAATGATTGCACCTAAGGTCCCCCTCCCCCCCAAAAAGAAGAGAAAGTTGGATTTTTTTAGTATATTTTAACATATATCTTATAATAATTTCTTTCTTACAGCTAACATTTTTAGTTTTTGAGTTCACAGTAAAGACATTCACTGAATTATTGTTGAGTTTTAAATTCATAGGTTTTTATTGTTTTGATCTAGAAGCATGTCAGATTAACAATTGAAATTTTATTTATGTAAACTCAATAATAGAATTATGATAAAATAAGTGTTTTGATAAACACTTAAACAGCTGATTTATAACAGGTTGTTCATCTTAAAGTTATGTCGTAGCTCGAATCACATATGTTACTGGGCAATGATTCCACTATTGTACTTTTTTTTTTTTTAAGTTTTTGCTGGAGGGCGTGTGTGCTTGCTGGGAAGAGACAAGAGAGAGCCAGGGAGAGTGAGAGATTGCCCTGGGAGGGGGTGGTGGCCACAGCTCCTCTGTCCTCTTGGCCTCTGGGGCCCCACACACAAGTACATGGTGTGTTTGAGAAACGCAGCGGGTCTGGGACTCAGACCACATCATCAGCCACGTCGGATCTGGCCACCTTAACCACCACGCCACCAGCGGGCCCTGTTGTGCATTTTATTGATTTAAAACACGCTCAGCTCTGGGAACTACACTGGTTATATGGAGGGTCACGGCTTACCCAACATGCACGTGCTCCCCTTGCTGGGCCCGCCCGGCAGAGGCTCCATTAGCATGTGCTCCGTCCTGTCGCTACTCCCTACCTCACGCCCTGCTCCCAGAGTCTCATCGGGACAGCCCTGATTCGGACACAGTTGGGGCGAGCAGTCAGGTGGCAGTTTCCCCAGGATAGGAGAGGACTGAGCGAGAGTCGATGTTGAGCAGATTACGTCCGCTTCTCCAAGACCACCGGGAATGCTAGCCTCGCCAGACTCTGCTCTTTCCCGTGTAGTGCCTCCTGGTCAGGCCGTGTGCTGAGATCGCTTACGAGTAGGTGATGGCCACACGCCAAACACCAGTGCGAATCTCAGTCAAGAATGAGTCGTTTATCGAGATATGAAATACTAAAAGGATTACCTTTCTGTTACAAATATAAAGTTTTTTTTCTTGCAAAAATTATAGGGGATGGAGTGTTAGATCTCTCTACAAAGAAAACCAGCATAAAATCTGAAGAGTCATCCATATGTGATCCTTCTTCTGAAAACTCAGTGGCTGGGTAAGCAATCACCTGGGAGGCACGACTTAATGCTGACACACGGTACCCTCTGCAGAGGACTCGCCCACGGCTCTGGGTAGTGTTGACGTGCCTAGCTGTCCTCAGACTTCGTCACTCATGAGTCTTCTCTCACACCCTCATTTGTCCTTTCTCTTTCTTTTTTATTCTTTCTGTTAAAGAAAAGTTATCAGAACAATCACCAAACTTTAGTTCATGTTATTAAAATGAACTGCCAACTTAATTGTAGACTACAAATGAAGCAGGACAAAAAGAGAATTTTAAATTAAGTATTCAGAAGGCAATTTTAAGGGGAAATGTAACTTTGATCTTTAATTTTTTAAGCAGTGAACAAATTCTGAAAGTGCTACACTTCCAATTTTTTTAAACCAGTTTGTAGTGTTTCTGTTTTTACCTTGTTCTTCAGATGTGGTGGCAAATGATTTAACATATCTGGCAATCACCACAAAAAAGCCCTCTCGTGGTCTGAACGCTGCCATTAGTTTAGATGGATGACTAGTGAAGTGCTGCCCTGTTGGAGTTTTGGATTTTTTCACCTTTGCATCTTCCCATGAACTAAATGCACAGGAAGCCTTCTCGTCTCGTTTCAGTCTTCGGTGTTGAGTGTAGTTTGTTCCACCCGAGGCCATTGAGCCTTCCAGTCATCAGATTTAGTGAAGTTGCCGCTGAGAGACTTTGAAAATTGTAATGAGTCAAGAAAGAAGATTGACAATAGCTAAAACTAAATGATCTTACTCGAATTTAACGATATACTTGTTTCGTATTAAGTTCTTGTAGAGGTACATTAGTCTGGTGGAAATGCGGGATGTTTGTGTTTGGAAATATTCTTGCTGCCACAGTTTCCTCTAAGGGGTTGACTCTTTTATTACTTGTTTAGTGGTAACGTCACGTTTCTACTAACAAACACTCCTTCAGGATTGGGGTATTTTTAGTAACGGAGTCTAATTGTACAGATAAAAATTATGAGTGTTGCTTTGCAAGCATCTGTCCGAGGAATAGCAACATCACAAGAGCATTTTTACAAATACCGAGTTAGGGTTTTCTGTTCTCGGAAGGTCTGCCCGGTGAGCACCGTCCCCTGGGCACACTGTCCCAGTGGGGCTGTGGCGTTTGCTCTGGTAAGGAGTAGCCCTGCACCTCCCAGACTAAGTGTCCTGAGCAGTGATGTTACCTAAGCAAGGCGTATAATAAAGGAGTGGACCCCCTCCGTAGCTGTGTGAGGGTCTCTCATGCACCAGTTCACCATCGTTTCATTCCACCCATCCAGGAGACTCCACAGAAACAGAGAGGACTATGTGGGAAGAAGTGCTGAGTTTGCAGATGGCTTGCTCTCAAAAGCTCTGAAAGACATTCAGTCTGGAGCACTGGACCTAAGTAAAGCAGGCATACTTTACGGCATACCTCAAAAAACTCTACTTCTCCACTTAGAAGCCTTACCAGCAGGGAAGCCTGCCTCTTTTAGAAACAAAACTCGAGATTGCAATGCTAGTTACTCACGGTCAGACAGTACAGAGACACGCGCAGTGCTGCAGAAGGTGGCCCTGTGGGCAAGGGCGCAAGCAGAGCGCACAGAAAAAAGCCAACTCCATCTACTTGAAACCTCAGAATTAAAATTCCCAACAGCTTCCAGTTACCTCCATCAGTTAACTCTGCAGAAAGTGGTTACTCAGTTTAAAGAGAAAAGTGAAAGCCTACAGTTTGAAACTTCCAATCCTACTGTACAGTTAAAAATTCCTCAGCTTCGAGTGACTTCGGTTTCTAAATCACAACCTGATGGCTCTGGTCTGCTGGATGTCATGTATCAAGTTTCCAAAACCTCTGCAGTCCTGGAAGGGTCAGCTCTGCAAAAACTGAAAAACATACTCCCCAAACAGAACAAGGTCGAATGTTCTGGGCCTGTAACTCACTCAAGTGTCGACTCTTACTTTCTCCATGGGGACCTCTCTCCTTTGTGTCTTAATTCTAAAAATGGAACAGTCGATGGGACCTCTGAAAACACTGAAGATGGATTGGATCGGAAAGATAGCAAGCAGCCCAGGAAAAAGCGTGGCCGCTACCGGCAGTATGACCATGAGATCATGGAAGAGGCCATAGCCATGGTGATGAGCGGGAAAATGAGTGTGTCCAAAGCACAAGGGATCTATGGGGTACCTCACAGCACTTTAGAATACAAGGTAAAGGAGCGATCTGGAACACTGAAGACTCCCCCGAAGAAGAAGCTGCGCTTACCAGACACTGGGTTCTATAACGTGACAGATTCAGGGACTGGCGGGGGGCGAAGTGTCGACTCTTACTTTCTCCATGGGGACCTCTCTCCTTTGTGTCTTAATTCTAAAAATGGAACAGTCGATGGGACCTCTGAAAACACTGAAGATGGATTGGATCGGAAAGATAGCAAGCAGCCCAGGAAAAAGCGTGGCCGCTACCGGCAGTATGACCATGAGATCATGGAAGAGGCCATAGCCATGGTGATGAGCGGGAAAATGAGTGTGTCCAAAGCACAAGGGATCTATGGGGTACCTCACAGCACTTTAGAATACAAGGTAAAGGAGCGATCTGGAACACTGAAGACTCCCCCGAAGAAGAAGCTGCGCTTACCAGACACTGGGTTCTATAACGTGACAGATTCAGGGACTGGCGGCTGCAGACACAGCAGCAAGCCTGTGTAGATTACTCGTTAGGAAAACTGTGTGTGTGTGTGTGCGCGCGTGTGTGTGTGTGTTGTGTGTCTGTATACACATGTGGGAATTACAGATGCTCACTCTGACAGGAGACATTAAATTTTACAGTTCAAAAACCACTTACATGCCTTTTGAAAAAAGTTTTATTCAGGGTTTTCACTGTGGACAGAACTATATAGTTGCTTACTTACTTCTGATAGTTTGTATTTAATCCTTGTATAAATAGGTGGAAAAGATTCAGGTTTTCTTTAGTAGTCAATAGCATAAAGTTGTGGGAAAACAAGTAATTGTCAAGTGAAACATTTCTATTGGTGAGAGACCATTCCAGCCATTCAGTTGAACCATCTTCTAATGAAAATCTATGGATAGTTTATGAACATTTTTGCACATGCTTACAGCTACTGTAAGTGTGTAAAGCCAGTCAGAGCTTCGATAGACGACTATCTACATACTAAGAGGAAGTAACATGTAGTGTTAGGTACACTGCAGTGCGCTCTGCGGGGTACAGAGGGCGCTCGATTGCATCCACCAGGAATGGGAAAGAGAACCTTAAAGGATATGTATACTGAAATCTAATATTTATCATTTAATAGTTGATTTAGCAAGGAGTTGGGGTTTACAAGGTCTGTGCTTTTAAAAAAACTGACACTTAGTTAACCCCGGCAGCTATAGAATCTTTTAATATAAGATGAAATACTAAGAACAAAAAGTAATTTAAATTTAATTATTAAAATAATTTAATTTTGTTTTTCATTTGAAAAATAAGCTAATGTGTAAGGTTAGAAAAGAAAGTTGGAATGCAACTTAGAGCATGTTTATAATGTTCACAGAAAAAGCTTGAGAATGATCATTTTGATTTAAATGTGCTGGTTAGTTGATGTTATGACTACTTTAAATTTTAAGGATTGTGAGACACTCCTACTATTGAAAGACCTCAGTGTAACTTTAATATATTTGCTGCTGTGACATTTCAAAACATTTTCAGTTTATCAAAATGAATCACATGTCATTTTGGTGGGCAACACATTATCATTTTTGCTAATAACCAAATTTGCAGTTTGTTCAGGGTCTTGAATAGATTTACAGATATTTAACACTGAAGCTGTTTTGAACTTTCAGTAAACTCTACAAATCTGCGTAGTTAGAAGCTGGGCAGTGCATTTTAACCTTTGCTAGACTGATAAGAGAAACCAGTCGTTCTTATATAGCAGTTTTAAACTATGGGTGAGAGTATCCATGTTGGATTTACGGAGTACGCAGTTTCTAGTGGGAAGATGTCATAGAGCATGTGCCTCATACAAAGAATGGGGATTTGCTTTATAGTCAAAACCTCTGAGTGCCCCTTTTCTCTGTTAAAATTCAGGTTCACATCGTTTTTCTAAGCCAGTTTTCCTAAGTCCAAAAGGAGTACTTAGCGCTGAATTTAAACATAAGTGCACCTCGTCAGGTACTGGTGTTTCCACACTTGTGTTTGTGTGTATTTAATAGCCACCTGCACATGTAATACTAAAGACTTTTTCAGCTGTTAAACTTTAAAACTGCTTATCTGCTTAAACAAAACCAAGTGAGAAACTACACAACCAAGTAGTTCCTTGGTCTTTGAGAGCTACTGACCCCTCCTCAGCTATCAAGCTTACCTACACATGAGGGTATGAATCCTCTTGCTCTCCCCCCGCCCCAAGAAAATAGACAAAATAGATTATGAAACAGCATATGTCAGGGTCATCTTTCTTTTTGAAGAATTAAGCCATATTTTGTGAGGGCCGGAATGTGGATTATTTAATATATTTCCCTCTCCCCCCATTGAGAAACAGAGTTAAAGGTAAAGGAAACATTTCGAAATAATTTTATTGACCTCTTTATACAATTTTACTTGCAAAACTTGGGGGCTTGAATGCATTACATAATATTTATATTATATTGAGCTTTTTTATTCCTCACACTATATTTACATTAATAAATTGATTGAGAAGTTTATAGTAAAGGGAAACTTACAGAACACTTTTATATCATTTCAAAGATGACCTGACCAAAACCTTTACAGGATTCATCAATCAGGGATCATTTTGCTATTGACTTCACAGCGATCAGTAGTTTTATAGGTAATATTATAGTTAATTTGCAGCATTTTAGTACTTGTATTATTTATTTTTGGTCAGAAATAGTAAATTAAAATATTTTTTGATAGTTTATAGGTAATGACCAACCCATAACTTTTAAAAGAAACAAAATGTTTCTACTGAGTTAACTTCGATTATACGAACTAGGAAAGGCAGGGAAATGTATGAGCCCCCTTCTCCCCAGTGACTATTAAGATGTTCTTTATGTTAAACTTTCAAAGTACTTTATAAATTTAGTTACCAGTGACTGCTTACTAATTGACAATTTTCTGAAAAACCCAGTTTCAGCAGACTTTTAATGAAGGGGAAAGCAGTGTTTATGTGCTTTCTACTCACCTGAATGTTCCTCAAGTATTTTATATTTAAAAAAAAAAAGGAAAAGAAAAAACAGTGCCTCTGTTTTTAGAAAACTACTGCTCAGTAAAGTTGTTTAAACCATTTCTGGTAGCTAATGACAATTTTATATTAAATTGTATACTAACTTTAGTGAGACTGATTTTTTAGTTGTTTACAGTACAGATACTTGTATTTGTTTTTAATTGCAGTATTTCCATTGTCGCAGTAATTTAGTAAAACTCTGTGGCTGCCTTGATTTTTGACAGATTTTGTTAATATAAACTGATTGTTAGGCAATTAGTTATATTTATGCATAAATCAATTGCACTATAATTCATGAATTATTTATTACAATATTTTCTAATGAATTTATGTATCTGTCTTGTGTTGTAAATGTACTGTAATTCTGTTCCTATTTTGTGTTGTTATATATCTGAATCGGACTGTATGAATTAATTGTTCAGTTGCTGTGTTTCTAGGTTGTAATTTGTAGTAAAGCACTTCAATGCTTTTGCACTTACCTTTACAACACTGTTGATGTGTGACTGATTTTTCTCATTCAGTAAAAGGAAAAAAAAAGCAAAGACAAACCCTGACTACACTGACTTCTTTGATTCACTGTAGGAAGCAATTTTATTAAAATTAGAATTAGGGATTGACCGTTTCTCAAGAAATATTTCAACAGGCTTTTAATGGGCAAAATGAATAATAACTACAAAAAACAGGCAAGATGTTTTGGTTTGTAAATCAAACAGGAAAAGGTTAGGAAAAACTTTAACATTAAAAATAAAGGGTGTATGAAAAAGACAATTTTATTTTTTTAAATAATAATTTTATTTAACTTTATTTATTTATTTTAATTTGACCAGAGAAAGTGAGAAAGCAAGCTGCTGGGTCCGAGACTCGAACTGTAGTCAGCCTTGTGGGAGTCCAGCGTCTTTAACTACCACGCCACCAGCCGGTCCCGAAAAAAACAATGTTAGAACCTTTATATAAATACTTGAGAATAAATTCTGAGTTGGAGATTTGTATGTATACTCACTGATAATTGCTCATATATTAGATTATTCTTTGAGATTCTAACATGCAAGAGAAAAGGAAAAATAGAAAAGAAAAGCCGTTGTGGCCCGTCATGCTTACTGCTGGTCCACGTGCACATTCAGTGACATCACGTATGACACACAGGCAGAAGCTCACGTCTGAGTGTCTCCTCGGTTCCTATATTAAGCTGCCATCGTTGAGCGTTTGATGGGAACGACTCGCCACTGTGATGTTTTCGAAATTCCATTATTAAAAATAAACTGAATAAGGGAACCAGCAGTTAGCGTAATGGCTATGTCGCTGGACTCCCACGTAGTCGACCGCGGTTCGCATCCTGGACCCGGTGGCTTAAAACTCACGCCGGGCGCGTGTGTGTGCATGCCCAAGATCCCGAGAGAATGGAGGAGAAGGGATTGCGGCGTGACCATCCCCCCTGGGGGGTGATTTCTCGCTTTCTGTCTCTATGTCTCTCTCTGTCTGGCGAGCACAGGCGCCCTACAGTGAAAATCTCTCCAAAAAAAAAAAAAAACTGAATAAGAAAGCTCTTCTTTTAACATGTAGGTTATTTGGAATGTCCCTAGAGGGATATAAAAATCAGGTTTTTAAGTTTCACATTTAACATGAAAATAGTTTTTTAGACTAAACATTTGTCATTAGTTTCTACATTAAACCTGACGTTAAAGGGTTAAAATCCGAGAAACATGTAGATTCTGAGAAACACACAAATCCTCTTGAATTATTAGTTGACAGATACGCTCCATAGGCCATGATAATATCACTTCATAAACTCAAAGTGCCTCTTTCTATACATCTCGGGCTGCTTGTGTGAAAGTCATAATTAGCGTTATAATTTTTATTTTGCTAGAAAAGAGCCTGTCAGTACATGACACGTATTTACTCCTGCTCTTTGCATACGTTTTCTGAACCACCCAACACTGAATCCTGGGAGTTGTATCATTTTACACTCCAACCATGATCAAATTCACAAAAACTTAGTTTGGGGAAAGGAAAAGACCCTGGGGTGACAGCCGCGTCTGCAGGTCTAGAGGCAGCAGTGGCCCTTGGCCTTCCGCACGCCACGTGCCTGCTCCCTGCGTGGCTGGCCTAGGGCAGCGCCCGCTGGGTCTAGCACAGTTGCCTTCTTCCAGAAAAAGTTGATCAGGTGTTTAAAACTAGCTTCGGTATTTTTGCCATTCAACATAATTTTTAAAAATGAAATACTGCCTATTTATGCGTGGAAAAGGTTACCACACTTTTAGAAGACAGTAATACTAACTTGGTTTTTGTTTAAATAGGAAAAAATCCTTTAACTTTTAATATACATGAGAATAATCTTTTACTTTAAAAATGCATTCTTTAATAGCAATTCATAATCACTTTTTCTCCATTTCAATTCTAAATACCTGCAAACCAGGAAGTGCTAATACAGACAAATCACAAGGGAAGGGCCGTTTTCATGTACGGAGTTTGGTGATATGTTCATTGAAACAGATGCTTTTCTGAAACAGAATCTTCCGATATATTATTTTCCTCTTGCTGATATTGAATTAAACAAATTCTTTGTAGACTTCTCTATTGGTTGGGTCTTAGTTAGATGTATAGTAGTTTCTACAGTGGGACATTTTCCAGCATTTGAAATTTAATAATTAGGTAAGTAATGCCTTTAGCTTTTTACGTAATGTAGGATTTAAAATCAATTAAAAATAGATTTCACTTTTAAGTAGATTAATGCCTTCCAGGTTAACCTTAGAAAAGATACTCTGCTGCTTACATGCAGACTCACTGCCTTAACCTCCATGTGACTAGGCGAATCTCTCGTTTATTATGTTTTAATTTAATTTTCACTGCCTTGAAAAGCAATTTTAAATAAAGATAAAAATTTCACTCCTACATCTTATTTTCCTTATCTGCACTAATATGGACTGATAATTATCAAAATAACTTTTATAAAATATGTACTTTACAAAATTTTAACTCCTTTTGAAGTAAACATTTAATTTACATTAAATATTTCTAATATAACCAAAACATTAAACATTATCAGTATGGAAATATACTCATGTATGATCAACAGCTTTGATATTACAAAAATAAGGTGATGTATTGACTCTGTCATGGGAAATTATTACCCATGAGCGTGCTTCATTATGTTTTCTCTAAACAGTAATCAATATGTCATTATTGGGACCAGCAGCTGGCATAATGGCTGTGTCACTGGACTCCCATGTCGTCGACCGTGGTTCAAGTCCCAGACCCGGTGGCTTAAACTTGCGCTGGGCGCGTGTGCGTGTGTGCCCAAGATCCCAAGAGGAGAATGGAGGAGAAGGGAATGCGATGTGGCCATCCCCTCTGGGGGATGATCTCTTGCTTTCTGTCTCCCTGTCTCTGTCTTTCTGGCGAGCGCACGCATCCTATAGCAAAAACCTCTCCAAAAAAAATATATATGTCAAACTTTTTTTTTTTTTTGCTGTAATTCATTTTTTGTTTGATTTTTATTTTTAGTTCAACTGTTGATGCAAAATCAGAGGAAGCTACTAAAATGGAAACAGGAAAATCAGCACTAAGCAGAGTTTTGGCGTCTCTGTGCACACATCACCAGCAGCAAGCTCTGGCTCTGTTGTCGTTTCTAGCCGCAGAGCAGGCTGCCGCCCCTCCTTGCTGCTGTGGCGGGTCGCGTGCTGTGTCTTCAGACTCTCGAAAGCCCCTAACTGAAGATGACTCTCATGGTCTGCTCTGTTGTGAGTACAGGCTGGCAGAAAGAGGGCGTCTACGAAATGAGAGACCACGCCCTGGCTTTGCCCCTCTGCCAGCCTGTATTACAGGCTCGTGTTTATCTTGCCAGACTGTGACTGTCGAACACATTAGGACAGGAGTGAATGCAGCACTCGCAGATACTTGTCCTTCCCACAGGTGCTGTGCTGGACTGTTGCCCGACGTTCACTCTGCGACGTCGGCCTTGCACGGGCCTCTTCTGTCCAGGGTAGGATGTGACCCTTCAGTCAGCCTTAAAGATCCTGGGAGATCTCGGAGTCCGTCACCCCCCCCATTATCACCTGTACAAGCGGAGGGATTTGAAACACGGAAAGATGGCATCGCAGAGCTTTCGGCCTTAGAAAGTAAGAAGCTGGAAATGAACATTAACCAGCCTCCATCTCTCACACCCGCAGAAATCAGCAAGACGGGTGATCATGAAAGCAGAACATGTGAAACTAAGAAGTCTAGCAACTCAGAGTCTGTGCTCTCAGGTGACAGCAATAGCTATACTGCAGATCGGGAAAACGGTGAAATTGCTGTAATTTTTCCAGATTTAATGGATCGCATTAATGAAAAATTAAAATCAATAGAAACCACAGATATGACAAACCTTGTGAAATTACCTGGCAGTGATTGTGATGCAAATAATGATTTTAAATTGCGAAATTTAATAACCTCTCTCTTGCATAATGCAAAGGCCAGTGATTACAGTTTTATGGAGTTACTGAGTCAGCACGATAAAAAGACAGAAAATAAAATCATTCAGACAAGATTCCGAAAGCGTCAAGAAAACTTACTTGCAATGCACACCTCTCCTGGCTCGTCTGTGTTCAGAAGACAATCATTACAGATAAAAAGAGAACTTGCTAGTCTTGATGGGTATTTTATAAGAAAAAAGCACACTGGAAAACATTTAAAGAAAGGGGTGCACAGTGAGGAGGTATCTTTATCAAACAAAACAGTCTCTCATCACCAGGGGCCTTCTTTACAGAGCTCTGAGAATCCGCATGACAGAAACGGAGAAACATCGCCGTACCTGAAGCGCGCACTGCAGACGTTGCAGCTGCCACCTCATAGTTCGAGAACTAACTTGGCTCTCGACACATTTTCAGGAAGCTTTGAAATACCTTCGTCTGAAAAGGCAAGCCAAGGACGATCACAGCAGAGCCCTGCAGTGGTGGAGGATCTAAAATTAGAGAATATCCAGACACCTCTGGAAAGTGATGTTCCTGGACTTTGGGGCAGAACCAAACGAAGTATCGTGCCTCCAGGCTGGTGCTCTGTATATGTAACCAATAATTATGTTTTCAAAAAATCGCCAAAGGCCAAAAGAGTATCTGAATCCACACACAAGAAAGACCTAGTGGAAAATATTCAGGTTGAAAGCTCACACAATTTAGATCTAAACAAAATCGCAATGAATTCTAATTTACAAGTTGTGGTGGAGCGTTTGGAAGATACAATAAATATGGCCCAAAAGTCTTGGAATAATCAGCCATTACCAGAAGGATTTAAGTCATCCCAGAAATTGATACAAGTCGGTGATAGAGACCGAAGTGCTGTGACAAATACGACTTTCACTGTAGGTAGAATGACGTGCAGCGAGCAGACTGCACTGTCAGCCAGCAGCATCAGCAAAAGTCATTGTACGCCTACCGTGGATTTGAACAACAAAAGTCGTGACCGTCTGAAAAAGTCATGTATCTTAAAGGTGGGTAGCTTGACCTCCAGTGTTGAAAACCTACCAACAAAATATGAAGGTATTGAAAGCTCTTCTTTTTCTAACTATTCTAGTCCTATCAAGCTGATGTTTTTATCTGAGGTTCAAAGTAGTGAAGGAGTCAAATACACTTTAACATCAGTTGGTACCTCCCGGTCAGATGATGATCTTCCTTCTGGAAAACATACAACCCGTGACGTATTTGAAAAGAAAACAGAAACGAATGAGGATACCCCACGTGCCAACTTTGCAGACCGTGGCTCTAATTCTTACGATGCCGACACTCTACGAAGAGAACTAAAATGTAACTACACCAAAACCTCTGCAGAGTCCTTTGCAGTGTGTGTAGATGATATAAATAGCGAAAAGCCACAAGAAGAACCCAAGGAAAATTCAAGCATAGCCATTGACTCATCTTCTAAAAGGAAACCAGGTAGACCTAAAAAAATAGGACCCCAAGTTGTGAAACAGAGTAAGCGGCCCATTGGGAGACCACCGAAACCTAGAACTGAACAAACAGATGTCACCATCTGCCGAAACGAATCCTTCTGTGCTAGGAAAAGCCCTGATTCTCTGTCGCCAGAATTGGAAAAAAGTGCTTATAGGAAGAGTATAACAGTAACCGTGACTTACGGAAGGTCGCGCAGGACGAGGAGGCACGTTTCCGAAGGGAGTGTGGACGTCAGCCGTGTCACCTCTCTCAGCAGTAACGCTGCTGCTCCCAGAAATCCGCAGCAGCTAGGGGCTGCCGTGGGCGGGCAAGTGAGCCCCACATGGAGCTCGGACACTGGCAGCGAGATCTCGGAGTCTGGCTTTGAACACGTTAGACCTACCGAGAGCAAGTGTGTGATAACTCAGCCTCCCAGGAGCGTCATCCCAAGTCAGAGGCCTCTGGCAGTAACCAGGAAGCCTGGGAGACCAGCCAAAGTGAAAATCTCTGGCATCTCCGTGACTGTTAATAGAACCTCACCTCAGGGAAGAGAAGTAAGTCTTAGCAGCTGCTCTCCACCTTTACAACAGGAAGATATGCTAGAAAAAAATCTGCCAGAAGGGAAACATGACCAACAATGCAAAAAGACGACTACGCCAAGGCACACTGAGGCTGGCGTGTTTGAGAATGGGTCAGAAAGCGTGGTGGCTCTGGTACCCTTGAGACATTCTATTGGGGATAGGAAACCATCTCTGCATTTCTTACATTCATTAGCATCTTCCAGCTCACTGATTTATAGAAATGCTTTCCTCCATAAATCATATAAGCTCCATTTGCAGAAAGGTGAAAGTGAGAAGGAAAAACGTAGGCAGTCAAGGATAATAACAGCTTCCAAAGATAGCCCAAGAGGTAGACAGTCAAGCGATGCGAAGAAGTGTGTGGAGGATAAGAAGTCGATCCCCCTTTCTGAAATATCCTTAGACCCTATCATTTCATCTGACCCTCTGCTTAGGTGGTGGGCTACTTCTGCTTCGAGTGATTGCTTGTTGGAGGAGCTGAATGACAGATTTGAGCAAGTAACAAATGCTTGGGTCCAGGTGAGCCGAGATGAAGCTGGAAATGTTCCTAAGAAAAGAGAGCACAGGGAAAATGATTTCGAAATAGAAAACCCTTTGGAAACTCTTTTAGAATTTGAGGTTTCACCTGTAAAAATGCTTTTTCAGAAAAAGTGTGATTTGAATGAACTCTGTGCCTGGTTTATGCAGACCACAGAAACACACTCTCTTTCACTAGTTAGGAAAGCAAATGCTCGAAACCCTTGGGAAGTGATCAATACAAGGGGACTTAAATTAGGGGCCAAATATTCCGATTTCAATTCCAGCCCATTCAGAAAGCACTTTAAAAAATTTGCACTCTCTTCTCCCTCAAAATCAGCAGGGAACTTGCATATACTAAAAATGGTTAGCTCTCCACTCTTAAATGCGAGAAGTAATTTAACTCTAGCTAGACTGAAAAGGCCTGAGTTTAAGAGATTGCACCGGGAAAGGTGGAAAAGAGAGGGGAAGCTGCGCTGTCACGGGACAGCTGCCTGGCGCTCTAGAAGAAGGAACCCCAGATACTTCTGTCCGAACCAGTTCTTAAATAAGACTCAGGAGGGGGGAAATGCTGATATTCCACTCCAAGGAAAACACACGGTAGATAAGCAGTGTATCTTGCCACCTGAGATCAGAGATGACCGTCTGCAGCCAAGGGTGGCGATGCCTGACTGCAGAGCAAAGCGTGCTAGCTTAGAGAAGAAGTATGAGTCAGAGGCAAAGGAGAATGGAGCAGACTGCGGCCAAAAAGATTTTGAAAAGGGACCGAGATTAGGAAATGTGTGTCCCAATAATTGGAGGTCGAAAACCTTAAAAGATTGTAGGATATTTTTGAGGAAACTCAACCATCTTGAACACAGAAATACCTTTAAGCTAAATACGGTTACCTCCTCCCCTGCGTCTGTTGACCGTGGAAGCAGCCATCAGACTCGTGTAGAGGAGTCAGAGTGCTTTACCTTAAGACCCCGTCCTGCTAGGCAAAACTCTCTCCAGAGTCAGTCTAAAGCGAGAGAGAATGCTAAAGCAGAGAGTCCTTCACCTGGCCAACTTGACAACAATAAATTAAGTAAGTGCTCTAACTCTGGCAAGAATCCATCTGAGGGTTCTGAAGTTCTTAGCAAGTTGAACAAGAGAAAAAGACCGCCATGGAAGACCACGGAAATGTCAGCAAAAAGACCTAAGCGGCAGTCTTGCAACAGTGGACAAATGGCAAACTATTGTTCAAAATTCCAACTAGGTAAGTTTCTCTCTACTTAATTGTCAAGTTTCATTGTAGGTGCCTTGACTGAAGTGTGACAGGTAGAAAGGGACAGTGGATTCCATTTCAGTTTATTCTGAAAATAGTTGGACAACCTGATTTCTTGGCACCTCGCATGAAACTCACGAGATTAGGTGCTGCTAAGCGTAGTGTGTGCTTCCTCGCCTCTGCAGGGATCCAGGATTCAAAGCAACTAAAAATACATTTCATAGAGACACAGAAAGCTTCCTTAAAATACCTCATTAATGTAAAAGTTATCTCCCTTTGCATTCGATAGATCTAATATAAAAATCGGAAGATAGATTGATATTTAAATATGACTAATCAGAAAGTAGGCACTACAGGTCACATAGTATAAAATACGTACATGAAACGTGTATGTCATATCCCTGGACACCTGGGAGACCCTGTAGACAAGACTGTCATGGCTGATGAAGACCTCGGCATGACTCCCGCCTGCGAGTCACGCAGCTGCCGCCAGGTGGCCGTGCCGTTTGAGACCAGTGTGGGCCCTGCTCCAATTCTGCGCGTTTGCAAGTGTGTAGTTACCCATTCTATTTCCACAAAAAGTCGGCAGACTTACCGAGTGGTGTGTTTGCATGTCGCACACTGAGCTCCTTCCCATCCGTATGAAGACGCTGATTCCTTCCACAGAGAATCCAGTCTAGCAGCAGTCCTGTGAATAAGTCCTCGGGAAGAGAGGCCGAGTTCCCAATGCAGGCTGAACTCGGCGGGCAGTGCTGTACCTCACTCGGGCACACGGCCCGGCACTGCTCCCACAGAGCCAGCACTGTCCCCGCCCACAGTGCCAGGGCCGTCTCCCCCAACCTGAGCCGGCCTCCCGCGGTGGCAGTGTGCGAGTCCTCCCCCAGCAGGCGTACCTAGGGGTGTTTGCAAGGGCCGAGGAAGTACTGGTGGGTTTATCTCTATCAGCTTTTTAAAAATGCATTTAAAAGTTAGTATTAGTAGTAGCAGGTCTTATAATACTAAAAGCAGTCATTAAATTATAAAGTTACTAGGTTAATGATTTTATGGTCTTTAAAATTCATTTATTTAATTGAATAGAATACCTATTTCAGTCATATCTAATATGTAATGATTAATATTTCAAATACCTTCAAATGTTGAAGATGGTCCAAGTCGTTTCCATTATGAAGGATAAATCAAAACTAAAAAGAATGACCTCTATTTCCATCCTGAGGATAACTGAAAATAACAATATAACAACTACTATGTGAGAGAAGGAGAAAGGCGGTTAGTGATTTTTTTTTAAAGTATAAACATGCACACTTACTTTCAAAGATCGTCACAAATGGAGAATGAAGTGTAATATGTTCATTTTAACTCTCTGGATCACCCCCATTTCATGCCGTTCCAGTGTAGCCAAGGCAGTTGGCAGCTCATTCATTTTACAACAGGACCGCATTGTTCCCTCCAGCTTAACCATCCCTTAGACATAAATGTTTATTTTAATATGATTCTTCACGCCACTAAACGTGCAATACCCCTCGAGAAGTAAGATGGAAGATGCTTAATTATTACTTTTTCTTTTTCAAATTAACTTCAGAATTCTTCTGTGGTATTTAAAATTTTAAATATTAAGAGTTTTTCATCTTTCTTGTTTTTAAAATTACTAGTACTACTTCACGTTCTGCTTAAAATTTTATTTACTTTTTCCTGATAACTTTCCTTCTTTATTTTTTAACATTCTTTTTTTTAATCAGTCAACAAGGACATTAATTTTATAAAGTTTTATTTATAGCAATGTATGTTATATTTATCTGATTTTTAAATGTTTTCTTAAAGTTATTTTTTTCCTCATTGTTGCTGTTCCATACTTCTTTTTGCCCTTTTGCAAATGATGCTAAAACTCATTAGTTTTATGTGTGTTTTCCTTTTTCATAGAATGATCAGTAACTGGAGACTTGGGAGAGATTTTAGCAACAGAACTTTTCTAGAAAACATTTTGAGGGCAGTGTATACAATGAATTCTGGAGTATCTCTGTTGATGTAACGTGTCGCTTTATCATGAATGTCTCCCTTTTGTATATTTTGAGATAAACTGTCCATACGGTTTAATACGTGTAGAGTTGTAAGTCGGTGTTTCCGTATCTGCACTGCTGCATATGAGGTGTAGACATGGAAAGGGGAGGAAGAGATGCAAGCCAATCCCACTCTCCGTTTAACTCACCGAGCAAATGCCTGAAGTGTGCTGTGGGCACTATGGAGGGTCAGGAAGTTCCCTTTTCCTCTAAGAAAGTAGTACAGAACCATGTATTCAATAAGGAAAGTGTTACCATGTGTCTTAAGTGAAATATCACATACAGAACCGTGTATTCAATAAGGAAAGTGTTACCATGTGTCTTAAGTGAAATATCACATACAGAACCGTGTATTCAATAAGGAAAGTGTTACCATGTGTCTTAAGTGAAATGTCACATATTTTAAGGGGACAGAACGGTTAAAGTCTTTGCTTTCGTTATTTGGCAGCTTTCCATCTCATGAGGGACAGAAACATGAATAGACAGTTCCATTAAGAATGAGTGCTGGGACCAGCAATTAGCGTAATGGCCGTGTCACTGGACTCCCACGTAGTCGACCGCGGTTGAAGTCCCCTGACCCCGTGGCTTGAAACTCAGGCCGGGCGCGTGTGCGTGCGTGCCCAAGATCCCGAGAGGAGAATGGAGGAGAAGGGATTGCGGCGTGGCCAGCCCCCCTGGGGGTGATTTCTCACTTTCTGTCTCTCTCCCTGTCTGTCTGGCCAGCACATGCGCCCTATAGGAAAGAATCTCCTCTTAGAAAAAGAAGAGCCCTGTGATTGCAGAGCAGGTGGACTGTGGGAACACAGGGCAGAGACGCTGCACTCAGATTTGCGGAGTTGGACGAGGCTTCCTACCTTGTCACATCTCAGCTGACACTTGGAGGATGCCTAAATATTAGAAGGCAGGAAGGAAGGGGCCAGCGGGTGGCATGGAGATGAAGGTGCTGGGCCCCACTTGGCCGGCTGTGTGGTTTGAGTCCCAGACCCAGAGGCTTTAAAATCACGCCAGAATTTCCAGAGGAGCCAG